CGGGGCGCGCGCTCCGGCAACCCAAAAGTGCTGCTGTCTCGGGTCACTTGGTCGGCGGCGGGGAAGAGCATGGCACTGAAGGACACGGGCAGCGGCGGCAGCACCATCCTGCCCATTAGCGAGATGGTCTCCTCGTCCAGCTCGCCTGGCGCGTCGGCAGCCGCTGCCCCGGGGACCTGCGCACCGTCGCCCTTCCCCGAGGTAGTGGAGCTGAACGTGGGCGGTCAGGTCTATGTGACCAAGCACTCGACGCTGCTCAGCGTCCCAGACAGCACTTTGGCCAGTATGTTCTCGCCTTCCAGTCCCCGGGGCGGCGCCCGGCGCCGGGGCGAGCTGCCCAGGGACAGCCGGGCGCGCTTCTTCATCGACCGGGACGGCTTCCTCTTCAGGTACGTGCTGGATTACCTGCGGGACAAGCAGCTGGCGCTGCCCGAGCACTTCCCTGAGAAGGAGCGGCTCCTGCGCGAGGCCGAGTATTTCCAGCTCACCGACTTGGTGAAGCTGCTGTCATCCAAGGTCACCAAGCAGAACTCGCTCAACGACGAGGGGTGCCAGAGCGACCTGGAGGACAACGTCTCGCAGGGCAGCAGCGACGCTCTGCTGCTCCGTGGGGCAGCGGCCGCCGCGCCCTCGGGCCCGGGAGCGCACAGTGGCGGCGGCGGCGCGCCGGACAAGCGCTCGGGCTTCCTCACGCTGGGCTACCGGGGCTCCTACACCACGGTGCGCGACAACCAGGCGGACGCCAAGTTCCGGCGGGTGGCGCGCATCATGGTGTGCGGACGCATCGCGCTGGCCAAGGAGGTCTTCGGGGACACGCTCAACGAGAGCCGCGACCCGGACCGGCAGCCCGAGAAGTACACGTCCCGCTTCTACCTCAAGTTCACCTATCTGGAGCAGGCGTTCGACCGCCTGTCCGAGGCCGGCTTCCACATGGTGGCGTGTAACTCCTCCGGCACCGCTGCCTTCGTCAACCAGTACCGCGACGACAGGATCTGGAGCAGCTACACCGAGTACATTTTCTTCCGTAAGTCCGCGCCTTGGCGTTGCCTATCGCTCCCCGCCCCGCAGCAGCCCCGCCCCGGGGTCCCGCCGGGCTGGAGCCCTGCAGTGGTGTCCCGAGCCGGAGCTGGTCGCTTCCGAGCTCCCTCTCCGCTTCCTTTCTCCAACTCGGTGGCACCTGGGTCCCTGCAGCCCGTCTGCTTAACTTTCCTGGTCTTGCCCTGTGGTCCCAGAGAGCTCCTGGGGGTCGTAGGCGTCCCCTACTGCGGAGGGCGGGGAGGAGACCGGAGCAAGGCTATGGGCATAGGTCCCGCTCCGTCTGTCCGCTTCCGCGCGACTCCCAGTGGACAATATGTGTGGCTCTCCGAGGTGTCCTCACAGAGGACAGGTTGGCATTGAGGCACCCGCGCACCCCCGGCATTACCGTCCGTTGGTGGGTGCGGCGCGGGAGCGTCCAATGACTACAGGTTTAGGAACCTGGCGACCGGAGAAGCGACGGCCGTGCTGCCAGAGCCCCTAGAGGGCGGGGGCGCAGGGCGGCTGGTCAAGTCCTCCTGGACCCTCGGGAACCCAGATTTTCGGGCCAGTTATCTCCCGTCAGCCGCTGGGCGTTTTGGGCGGGGGAAGGTGGAAGGAACTATAAAGTTAGGAAGTGTGGGTGCGGTTCTCGGATTAGGGAGGGGCGTGTGTGTGTGTGTGTGTGTGTGTGTGTGTGTCCGCGCGCATGCAGTCGTGTTTCCTTCTGGGAACCTTGAGTCCGAAAGTGGGGTTGAGTCCTTTCCCAGGGTGAATACAAGAGAACGTGGCAGAGGATTTGAGAAATCATTTGGCACCACGCTCTTCGTAGTGCGCTTCCGGAGCAGACTGGGTGGAGTTCACCAACTCAGCCAAGTACCGCGAGCGGAACCTGCACTGGGGCTTGGGGAGGAGGTGACATTCCAAGTGAGGAAGGCAACTGGCTAGAGAACTATTTGGACCATTGAAAAGCCAGCTGGGATGACAGCAGGAACATTATTTTGCAAACGTTTGTCCTTTGGCCGAGAGGCTTTACAACTTGCCTGTAGTGTTAGGTAGCCTCGAAAGCCTATACTGGAAGTAGACCAGCTTTAATTATATGTGTTTATTTGAAAATTTACTCACTGTAATATTTGGGAACTGAACAGTGTCCTACACTTTATTTTGACTGCAGTAGTGGAGGTGACGTCTCTGTGCACGGGTGCAAGTTTGACCGGAAGATGGCTCGTTTTTGTATATTCTAGTAGCGTAATAGATAGGATGACGAAGTCCCAAAGCCCAGAACACTGTTTCTTTGACTTAGACTGTCTTTTTAAATAGTGCTCGATTTCTTGAGAAAACCATTTCAACAGAAAAACAATGGCATGTCCACTGAAGTGGTAGATATAAACCTATTGTCTTAATTATATGAAGGACTATTTGTTGTTGCATAGCAAAATGATGAAAGCTCAGAAAAGTTAAAACTATTGTATTGCTTATATAAAACTGGCGCATCTTCAGTGTACATTAAGTGCTTCGAGTATTTTAGGATCATTCTTTACATTTTATCCCCTATCATCATGAACTTTATCAATAACTTTTTAGATTTTAAACATGTAAGTCATTTCAACACAGATTTCCAAGCATTTCAGAAGATGAGGTGAAGAGAACTTTTGCCTTTCTTTTGGTTTGTGTTTTTTTGTTAAAGAAGATGTATGTGTGAGTTTTCTGCAAAGTTAAGTTTCTAAAATTTTGAACTCTTCCCTAGTTTTTGTTTTTCTTTTTTCCTCTAGAAAGTTGTAGACTTGAAAATGATCATTATGTTAATTATGAAGAAAGAATACAGGTTGTATCTAAAGTAGGAAAACATTGTCCTTGGTATATTTAGATTGGAAACTTAGCCAATCTAACGAATAAGATAATTTGAGAAATATGTGAAATTCAGGATCTGTTTCACTTCTGGAGTTAAAAGAAGTGTTAAATACAATATTCATATTATGTATGGCCACTCACAGAGTACTCTCATTACAAATGACCTCTGAATTCATTCATAAGAGCCTCAGAAATCTAAGGATGCAACTCACAAAGTTCCTCATTGATTATCCCAACTTTGGGGGGAAATATAAAGTTCCAGGTTAAATATTATTCTTTTGAAGTAGAAATCTAGTTATTGATCAGTCAAATGCAATTGCCAGTTTAAATTTTGGGTGTAAAATTTATCTTGACTATATTTATTTTATCATTTTGTACAGCTTGCATGATCTTTTCACAAGTTATTTTGAATGTGATTCCTTTTACTATTTGGTGAATGAAATACAGTGTAAAATTTTTGTATTTCTGTCTTGTTTACTTTAGGAAAGGACAGAATATAATTATGTTGTTTGGCAAGTCTGTCTTTAAAAAGCTTATCTGTGTTATACACAGAAGCACAATTATTGGATGGCCTTATTTGCCTACTTATGTGTTAGGTGTAGAACCACAATATCTTTTATTTACCCTTTTGACACAATTCTTTCAACAAATATTTATTTGTTGTGTAAGGTTTATTTAATGTATAGCATGGAAGAGTCATGTTGCTTTTTAAAATTCAGGTTACATGTGAACTTATTTGTTTGAAATGGTTTTAAACACAATAGAATTATAGTGTATACATTTGAGCTTCAATGTTAATGATCTCCACCGCTCCTGAGTTTCTGCTCTAGGGGGGAAGAGAGTGATTCAGTAACTAATGGTTCAGTCATTGCTGCTTTCCTGATGTCTAAACTTGGGTAAGTTATTTACTTGGTCTGTGTCCTAGTTTCCTCAACTTTATGATGAGTGTTATCACAGCACCAAATTTTAGGATTTGAAAATACATGTATAGTGCTTAGACCAGTGTCTGACTCATAATGAAAACCTCACAAATGTTAGCAGTCGCTATTATAAATAATATGTTACAGGCTTTATTATTCTTGTCAAAATGAAGTTTTAATTTTTTGTTTTAGTGAGTACAGTTAATTTAATTGTAAAGTTAATTAGAAAATTATTTTGCAGTTAAATGATAACATACTATAGTTTGAAAAGCTTGAAACAACCAACTAAATAACTTACTTCTTTCTTGGAACTTGAATTTTTCAGGTCAAGTCACCTAAGCTTGCCAATCATACTTCAGTTGGATTTTTTGAGTTGACTCCAGTGAAACTCATTTCTGATTCAGTGCCAGGAAATGTTTTAGCATTATGGCTGGAAACTTTGGCATTATTTTTTGACAGATACAAATCTAGATTTATATCTCCTTATGTGCTCATATTCAAGTCATTAGGTTCTTATGTTCAAGGTTATATACAGACTATTAAGCATTGAATACCAGGTTCATCTGGCTACGTAGACATGTATCCGTTTAGAGTCTTAACTCATTGTTTATCAAGTTTTTTTTTTTTTTTTTAGTACACTGCAATGTATACTAGTACTATTAAATTCCATATTTCTCTTCTAATACCGAAGATGGATTGTGCTTCCTGGGGAAAAACAAAGTGATTTATTGTGCTTTCTGTTTTGGGGGGATGTTTCATAAGTTTGATAGTTATGGCTGTCTTTAGCAATATATAGGAGACCAAAAAAGGCATTTCATGTTGGCAGTGTATTGTATAGAGAATAGTTACATGCACGGAATGTGATGCCTAGATCACCTGTAGTTAAAGCTAATATTAAATCTATTATTTATTTCTTATAATTAGAAAGGTTGGAGAAAGGATAGTTCTGATTTATTGCTTTTCTTTTTTAATAGCGATTCAGGTTTTGAGCTCCATATATGATTAAATAATATCATCTTTTTCTAGGTTATACAATAGAACCTCCATAGTTGGCCACCACCATACATTGACCACCCCCTTATGTTGACCTAACTCTCATAGGCCAGGCATGCACCACCTGCACGTCTCAGTACAGTAGGCCTAGTTCCTTATGTTGATCACCTGTGTATGTTGACCAGATTGTCCTTTGGGCGGTCAACTTACAGAGGTTCTACTATATTGGATTTTTTAAAGTTTAATATATCCTTTTTTGTTGTTTGATGTAGGAGAGTACAACATATAGGAATTAATGCAATTACTGAACTGGGCTGCGGAATCAAATTTGTCTTTAATGGATTTTGTCCCTACTCTTTCAGATTCATTGTGGTTCATTTCAGTGTGTTGGGTTAATCGGGGCTTATGGTGGTGTAATTCAATTTAAGAAGTTGCAAAGGTGAGGATCCAGTTAAATCTATATTGCAACCTTGACTTCATAATTAAAAGACATCTTAAAATGCATCACTGTTTTGTGATTAATATTACAATGTCCGTTTTACTTTTATTTACTAAACTTGTGTCAAGGTAATTAATAAAAATGAACTAATTTTCTTTAGACAACAAGAGCACAGAGCTTTATGATTTCTAATAGTATTCTTTTTTTTTTTTTTTTTTGTAGAGACAGTCTCACTTTATCACCCTTGGTAGAGCGCCATGGTGCCACACAGCTCACAGCAACCTCCAATTCCTGGGCTTAGGCGATTCTCTTGCCTCTGCCTCAGCCTTCTGGTCCTCTCCACAACATCTGGCTATTTTTTTTGTTGCAGTTTGGCTGTGGCCAGGTTTTAACCCACCATCCTTGGTATATGGGGCTGGCGCCCTACCCACTGAGCCACAGGCACTGCCCTTAGGATTCTAATTTATTTGTTGAGTACTTATTTAACATTAAACTTTGGTGAACATTTGTTCAACAGTTAATTTATGACGTTATTTCTACTGTATTGTGAATATTTTCTTATTAAACCCTACTTATGCAGGAAAATATAAAAAAGGGAGATACAAAAAAAGGATATAATGGAGAAATATATGTGGTATAGAATTTACTTTATGTCACCAGAGTAGTGAATGATTGAACCAGTCAGTTGTGTTTTCATTTATTTCACAAGTTACAGTAACAAAGACCTTGGGGATAGGACTCTATTATGTTGACCATTCTCATAATTTTGCACAATTAGACCTGCTTTCTAATTGCCAGTACAAGGAG